GAGGGAAGGACACAGGGAAGAGGTAACTATGGGGAGAGGTGGGAGGGGAACTGTTGCACTGTGCTAAATTGAAGTCAATGTCATGAGATAAAGTGTATGTGAACTGCTGTATGTAAAGTGAATTTGCTCTGTAAACTTTCACCCAAATCACAATTAAAAAAAAAAAAAAAAGTAGATCGCCAGAGAAAATGTCAAGACATCTGTGCAAGAACTATGGCAAGAACAGAAACATGAACCCTGAAACAGTGCTATACAGCACTAATAGTATACCCAAAACACTTTAATCAAGCAGATGACAAAAATGTAGATGTTTGACAAACCAAGTTAACAAAATTTTAATTCTGTTAATGTTTTTGGCAGCCAAACAAATACTAGGTGATGCACTTAGTCTCCTCAAACTTGATATTCTTTCCATTCCCGAAGTCATGCTGTAAAGACAAGGATCTAAGGGCTGGTATACCATACAGCCACTGCCTTGAGATTAAAAAGAAGATCCTGTAGGACATAAGATTGAGGTGTCTGCTACCAGTTCCAATACGGTAAACTATTGCCGAGACCAGTAGGGAGAAAAACGTTTCCTGACTAGAGTAAGGAATAAATTAACCAATAAGTCACTGAAGTCTTGAGTTCAGCCTTTCAAGAAATCCTTAATGATTATCGCCATCTAAATAGATATCCAAAAACAGAATTATGTGGCGTGTTCTCTTTATTTTATCTACAGTGCTCTAAATCTCAAGGATTTTGCAACATCTAGATTGATGAAATCTCTATTACAATAAGGTGACCAGATTGTCAGGCATGTTTCAAATTCTTGCTCTTCTAAGAGTTCATATTTGCATGCCTGCCATCAGGCATCAACTCCCTTCAGAAGTTACCTACTTGGTCACAAATTCAATGATTTCTCAACACTTTAATTTTAAGAAAACTGAATTCTCTAGAGATGCTTGGGCACATCAATTAGAGTAGTAATGCTATTTTACCATTTTCTTTATTACTGAGCAACACAGATATCACAAGAGAAAAAGAGAAGAGTAATACTGTCTTTCAAATATTTAAGAAACAAGGAGTAAGGCTAAGTGGAAGTGTACATTAAAGTGTACATTAAAGTACATTTTTTTTTTTTTTGTATTTAGAATACGGTGAATTATCAAGCTCAAAAGAGTTCATTGTTTAGAAGGTAGGTTTGTTTAAGAAGGCCAGCCTGATGAAAGGCCCACGTTACAGGGAGAGATCACAATGGCTGGGTCTCACAGCATGATGTATGAGAGAGCTTGGTATGTCAAAAACCATTAGGACTGACAACAACAAAGAATTCTCTCACATGTAGCTTGATGAGTAGTGATGGTATGAATACTTATGACAGTGAATTGTGAAAATTTCTGTAGAGATGTTATAGGTAGGACAGTCTTTCCAGCGGGTATCCACATTAACCTGTGACATCCAGCTATCATACTGAAATTAAACTGGATTTGGCAAAATTGCATCTGAATTCTAGTTCTTGACATACAGATTCATGGTTGATTCTAAAGTCTCACACAGCTTGAAAGTAGAATGGACTCTTGGTAAGTTAATCATGTCTTCTGTAAAGACTTGTCAAACTGAAGCCCAGACAAGAAAGCACTGATGACCTAAAAAATGAAGAATTTGCCTCCGTTATCAGTAATTAGGGAGTAGTAGTAGGTTAATTTCCAGATTGAAAGTGTGATAGTCCTCAGTTTGCCAAAAAGATTATTCGGAGGAACAAAACTACAGACTTTTCTTTAATTTCAAGAGGATTCCAGTTCCAAGTACCCTCCTTATTTTGGACCAGAAATAATGGTCAAACCTTTCTCCAACCCTTTTCGGGTGAAAGTGTCCACTTTCACTCAGCCAATAAAACAGAGTCTCTTTATTGTACATTACATTCCAAAAGTTGAGAATTCAAACATCAGCTGTAGATATTCCAGATATACATTCAGTTTTTGAGAAGATCTCCTACTTACAGATTCTATTTTAGTGAGAAGCAAGTAAAATAGTTAGGCTCTCGATGGCTAATCTGCTAAACGTGAACAGATTATTAATTCTTGTACCCACGGCGTTCTGGGGATTCTCCCTTTTTTCTACATCTATAGGGATGATTTCGGGGTTTGTACCAATCCCCTTTGGAGTATCCTCTACCGTGATAATGTGCTTTCTGATCACGACTATAAAAGTACCGATGCTGGTTAGAGTATTTGTTGTGGTCTTTAAAGTCATTTTCCTTTATACTGTTTTCTTCTGTAACAGCAGCATCCACATCTTGTCCAAAGAGGGAAGTACCATCAAATGGCAAATGTGAGATCTTCTCCTGGGTTTTCTTAGTGAGAGATGTAAGTCGGAGCCAAGCTTGCCGTCTGTAGTCTATTGCCATGGCCATAACTCTGACTACAGAGTCCATTATGTCCCTAGTAGTATAAAGCTGCCAAAGGCCTGCATCCATGCCATCAGATATTATACATCTTGCTTTTCCACGGTCAAATTCTGGGTCATGGACCAGATCCTCCATGTCTTCCCAGAGTTTACGCTGATACTGAGTCATATAGGCCATGTAGCTAGCAGCTCGGGCTGCAATGGAAGCAGCGTGGTAGAACCTACAACCCATGACCTCCATTTCTTTTGAGGTAGAATCTAAAGGGGATGTTGTGTTTCCTCTTTTGCTGTGCTCTAATGCTTCTACAATGGGGCCTTCAGCTGGTGGATTTGGTTGGAAAGGAGAGGTATCCTTGGCCACAGGATATACCCTGTGTCCCATGAAGGAAGAAGGATGGCAATCAGCAGGGTCTTTAAAAACCTCAGTGGTGGCAATTCTTAGAAGAGGATGCAATGGAGGAACCAAACGTTTCTTAGAGGTCACACAATCAGGTTTTCCTTCACATGATTCTGCTTCAGGTTGTAGTGTTACTCTCTTTATGACACCTCTTTGTTCCATTCTCTTCAAAAGACCTGTGAAACTAGATTGGCTGGGGTCAGAGGGCTGCTCTTTGTCATCAGCAGAAGGGGATTTGCAGTCAGCCTCTTCATCAACTGTGGATAAATTTTCATCCTTAGAGGTGGAGATATCCCAAGCAACAGAGCAGTTCTCACTTGCCCTAGAATGATGAAATCTAAAACAGCTCCTAGATTGGAGATCACGTATCACTCGGGACATCTCAGCCACTTGTGTCTGGAGATAGAGGATGGCATCATGCCCATATTGTGAACTTGAAGAAGATTCTCTAGGTAAATTCTCCTTGACTTCCAAAGAAGCTAAAGATTCGTGGGGGACCAGAGGTGGACATGAAGGCAGAGTCTGAGTATTTTGTGATGGTTTAGTTGTCTCTGTCTCAGAGATCTTAATATCTGAATTATTTTGGTCATTGTTCTGGTTCTCCAACAGGTTCTCAACAGAGGAAGGTTGAGAAACTATCCTTTGTGGACAGCTGGAGCAACTCCCAGAGGAGGAGCTGCTATCTCCAATGGAAAGAGGAACACTGCAGCTAGAGCACATTTCTGGGCGATGATTCTCAGAGGATGGCACCTTAGACTCAGGCATTCTCTGGGTTATCCACATGAACAAGAAAACCAAGGAAGAAAAAAAATATGCTTTTAATATATTAACTTTCAAGTGGAGAGATGCATGTCCAGTAAGCAGAATTAATTTTTTTAAATATTATAATAATGAAAGAACAAATCCACTACAGGGCAGCAAAAGGATCATGATATCAAACACAAGCTACACTACCCCAAAGGCCCCAATACCAACTACAGGCATGAATCTGGGACTCTGTCTACGAAAAAAGAGAGTAAAAACATGCCCAATTCACATGGTACCATCCAGGCCTGTTGCTTGGTCCCATGCTGGGATAAGAGGTAATGACACCACTGGCGAAAACAATTAAGGAAAAAAAAATCCCCTTCCAACATACTGAAATCAGCAACTAGAAATTAATGACAGAGAGAACTTGGGTAAAGGTCCACTGAGAGAAAAAAAAATTATCACCTCCCGGCATTACAGTAACTTTTATGCTTCTTTTAAAATGTCCTTTCAATCACTCTCTATGAATAACAATATTCCTACTTTGTGGTTAGTAGTCCACAAGGAGCTTACATACTTGTTACCTCATTTCATCCTCACAACAACCCTGTGAGGTAGGTTATTATTCTCATTTGATAAAGAAACTGAAGTTAAAAGATTACTTAATTTATCCAATGTCACAGAACCATTAAGCAATAAAGCTGAGACTCAAACCCAGGTAATTCTGATTCAAAATCCAAGTCTGGAACCCCTATATCAGAGTAAGAAGTTTTCTGATCACCTTGGACAAAAGAGCCAGGTATACTCTAATTCACAAAGATAAGAGTCCATTAATAGAAGTCTGAGCTAAGCCAAAGACAAATGGAAAGGCAAGATTGCTACAGAGGCATCAGCTAGCTTGGTTCTTATAGTAAAGAAATAGTAGCTTAAGGGGTCAAACCTATGACCAATAAGTCATAGGTAAGAGAAATAAGCCAAACATATGGGGAATAGAGGAAGTATGATAACTGATGTCATAAATAATTTATAAATCCTTCCCTCCCTTCCATTTCCTAAAGAATTTCCACATATTCTTCCAAGATAAAACAAATTTTCTGTAGCCATGTGGTTCCGGAAGAAAGGGATCCAGTTCTACAAAGCACCCAAGTATCATAAAGGAAAGGAAAGAAAGAGGAGCCAAAAAGCTTGCAGTTTTTATTCCATTTCCTTTTAATCTCATATTACCCCAGGGCTTATAAATTCTCTGGGTAGTGGTATCCTTTCACATCCTCACTGAAGTAGAGGAGCAAAACTGAAGTAGGAATTATTCTGGGCAAAGGATTCCTTGGATTACCAGTCTAGCAGAAATCAGCCACTCTCCAAAACAACGGAGCTCCTACACACAGCCATCACTGACCTGGTAACTCTCTAGAGAATGCCTCTCAAATAACAGAAGTAAACAAACGCAAAACAAATATAATGTACTTACATCACTATGAGAGGTGCTAGGCTCTTCATCATCACTGCTAACCAGGTCAATGTATTCAAGAACAGGTCTTAATGGTCCTTCCTATAAAAGAATGGAACAAATTTGCAAGTCATGAACAGTTATTCAAACCAAATTATCATCTACAATAAACAGTGTTTTTTATTGGGCCTAGCAAGTATTCCTCTCAAGAGGAAGCCTATGGGTGGCACAGAATAACTAGGAACAAAAGCAAAGGAAAAGATTCAGAGTATATGAATAAGAAATGATGACAGGACCAAAAAAAAAAAAAAAAAGCCTAAATACCTTCAGCGTATTAGGGACATGTCAATCTTTTGGGGAAAGGGAAAATAATAGGGAATAGTGATACATGGACATAGATATTACAATTCAATACTTTCAGTTCATATGAATATCAAGGCTCAAAAACATGGAGTTCTTTGACTAATATCTATGTGTCATCCCCATCCCCATCAAAACTAGAATTTTGTCTATCCTTTCCATCCATACTGCCTTCCTCATAGACTAGGCCTTGAATTGTACACTTAAAAGCCTAACTTTCATTCCACAGACAAAAGGGGATCACTAAATAATACTGAGATGGGAATAAAATTGTAAGACTTGTGCTTCAAAAAGATTAGTCACATGAGCAGTCTGGAGAGTAGGGAAACCAGGATTAATTAATCAGCCCTGGCACTAATACCACACAACTATATCAGGGTATGGCAAACATGAGGTGGTACCTAAACAAGAGAATATACGGTAAAATCGGGTGGGGGGGGGGAGACGGAACTGGCTATAAAAAAACAAAAACAAAGAAGTCTCTAAGGTTTTAAGCTTGGATGACTAGAAGAATATTAAAACCATCAACATAAATAAAGAATACAGAAATATAAAGGTGATGTTCTCTGGGAGAAAATGAATTTGAAGTACTAGTGGTACAAAGAAGTATCTAGCAGACATCTGAAAATGAAGGTCTATAATCCGAGTTTAGGAAATGAGCTAGAAATACAGATTTGGGAGTTGCTCCCCTAGAAGACTATAAAACTCTGACACTGTAAGCATGAAGAAAGCATAGAGTAGAAGTAAGAGAGTCAGGAGGCTCTTGGGAAAATGCTAGAATTTTAAGATTCAGGAAGAGCAAATGCAGGTAACCAAAGATGGGAGAAGAATCAAGAATGAATGCATTAACACAAAGAAACTAAAGATGGGGAAAACCTGAATGGGAAGCTGTCAACACAAAACATGGCCAAAGATATTAAGTACCATGAAAATGCCAATGAATTTGGCAATAAGGACATTTAAAAATGCCTTTTAGAGAACATCTATCAAGAAAGTAGTAACTAGTAAAAAGACACACAGAAGACAAGCTCTAAAAATTAAGGAACAGAGAATGAGGCAGTAAGGCCTTATAGAAGAAAGATATTCTTCCAAGAAATGTAGTATGTTGGAAACAAGAAAAAGGAATATAAGAGAAGAATATGGTTGAGGGAATGGGAGCTGATTGTAAGTAAGCTAAAGTGATATACTCAGTGGAAAAAACTAATAAAGGTTCTAGAATCAGCACACAGATATTAATCAGTTGCTTTGAAGTCAAATCTGACTCATGGCAACTCCACGGAGTTTTCAATGGATGTTTTTTCAGAAATAAATAGCCAGGTCTTTCCTCCAAGGCACCTCTGGGTAGATTCAAACCTCCAACCTTTCGGTTAGCAGCCAAGCATATCACCCATTTGTACCACCCAGGGACTCCAGATAAGCTACCCAACACCAAAAATCAAACCCACTGCCATCAAGTCAATTCCAACTCATAGCAACTCTATAGCAACCCTACAGGACAGAGCTGAACTGCCCCGCAGACTTCTCAAAGCTTTAAATTTTTACAGAAGCCTCATCTTTCTTCTGTAGAGCAGCAGGTGGGTTTGACTTGCCAACCTTTTGATGAACAAATACTTTAATCAATGTACCACCAGGGCTCCTTCCAGACAAGCTAAAATGGAGTTAATGATCTTTTTCCCCAGAAGCCTGCTGTCTCAAAGATAATCTGCTACTCTTACAGATAGTGATCCAACCATCAAGATAAAATCAGGTGGCAAAACTTCCAGTAACAGATTTCATAATAAAGGAATTAAGATTTCTGCCTTAGCTGTACATGTCAGAAGTTAAATAAAAAAGAAAAGAAAAGGAGAACGGATATATTATCCAATGTATGATCAGTGTATTAAACTTTTCTGAAAACCTATCCCTAGTATTAAGACTGCCAAATCATATCTTCAATCAACTTCTGGTTTGGATAGTTTTAAGAAAGAGGAAGTAAAAGAGATAAAAGTAGAACAGTTTTTCCCATTCACATAATCACCTTAGTTTCCTTCCTTCAAGAAACGTGCATTAATATCCATGTTCACATCCATGTTCACTGCAGCACTATTCACAATAGCAAAATGATGTTAACAACAAATGTCCATCAACAAAAGAACAGATCAACAAACAATATGTACACACAATGGAATACTATACAACATTAAAGAACAATGATCAATCTGCAAAACATCTCATAATATGAATGAACTTAGAGCCCATTATGCTGAGTCAAGTTAGTCAATCACAAAAGGGCAAATACTGTATTAGACCACTATTGTAAAAAGTCATGAAAAGGATTTTACAAAAACTAAATATTCTTTGATGGTTAACAGAGAAGGGAAGGTAACCACTAAAACTAGAGGATAGACACATATTAACTTGGGTGAAGGGAGAAAAAAAAAAAATAGATAATAAAATTTTTACTGTAAAGGCAAAAAAAAGGAATGGAGAGTGTCTTACCAGCAGGCTTGAGGATACTTTCCCAGCCTGAGAAGGCAGCCAACAACAATAACAGAAAAGAAATGTGCATTAGGATAGAAGAATCAGAAATAAAAAAAACTCAAAAAGCTAAATATAGAGAAAAGCTCAACAGAAGATTATTGATACTAAATGTGGCCAAAGAATTGTATTAACATGTTCATACACATAGCAAACCAAGAAGCTCTCCAAGTTATCAAAAATACATGGAGGTGAGTGCAGAGCTTCCATGAACAGAGAACAGGAAAAGAAAGAAAGTCACAGGATACAAGGCAAAAGTTGAATGGGCAGAAGGGAAAAAAAAGAATGGTAATGAAAATGGTCATAAATAGGATTAAAAAGTAGCACAGAAACAGGAAAAGGGGCAAAGTAAGGATATATGAGAGAAGACTCCTAGGTTGAACCATTAGACTGACACGCAATCAATGCTGAACTACAAAGTTAATTTTATATTACTCATATAAAGAGATAAAAATAAAAAGGACTAGAACAGGAAATCCAAAAGTGAGAAAAAGAAGCATTTAGAATACTTACTAATTCACTTGACAAATAATTACTAAGCACCTACTGCACACCACACTAAGTGACAAAGCAGTAGGAAGAGAAGCACTGATTTATTTAATATTAATATTATTATTAATAAGACTGCCAAAAAGCAAAGTAGGCTGTGTGGAAAAAACAAGGAACAAGTATACTAAAGTAAAATATTACTTATATACAAATGGCTGTACACTTAGGCTCATTTTCACAGTGGATATGGAAAACCCTCTACCGTAATGAATTTAGGGAAACGAAACTTTCTAGTATTCCACTGTGTATTTAGTATTTATTTCACTAGTAATCGATAACATTTGCTGTGCCCTGAAGGAATCCCTAGATGGTGAAAACAGTAAACACACTCAGCTACTAACTGAAAGGCTGGACGTTAGAGTCCACTCAGAGGCATCTTTCAAGAAAGCCTGGAGATCTACTTCTGAAAAATCAGCCACTGAAAACCCTATGGAGCAAAGTTCTACTCTGACACACATGGGGTGATCATGAGTTTGAATCAACTCAACAGCAACTGGTTTACTTTTTTTGGTTTTATTGAGCTCTATACCAGGCACTGTACTAAGCTCTCCACGTACATTATTTTATTTAATCTCCATAATTACTGTGTAAGGTGAGATACAAACTTATTACTATTTTGTAAGAGATGAGAAAAATGAATGAAGTATACCTGTTCTCTAAACACATAATTGACTGTTTAGTCATAATTCTGAGACAGTTTACACTATGAAGGAATGTTAAAATGAATGCTTAATACATACATTTCTGAGTAAGACACTTGTTTCCTCCTTCACCAAGAAAAAGACTACCTGCTATTGCCCTCACATCTGAAAAAATTATAATGCTGACCAAAAACTAAGTTACTGATGTCCCCTAAAGAAGTAATTTTATAACACAAATACCAAGGGAAAAAAAAAACTATTATTTTCCCATGTTTATAATGATTACTTATATTCTCAGCAAGAATAAATGCATATGGTCTTCCATTTACAAGGTATTTTATTTGAATGTGGTCTATCTATTAAGAGAAAACAATGAACTGCCATTTGTACCCCTCTGTACCAATAACAAAATCAAATACTATTAACAAAGTCATACAATTTAGGATAAGGCACATGCATGAACATGACAACAGAGTTGAATTACTATTCTAAATGTAAAATATAATTTTTTCAATAAAATAAATTTTCATTCCTGTTATTTGAGAAACTGATTCCCAGACAAAGCCAAAACATCACTTACTTACTAGTTAGAAAATGATGTCAATATACCATGATACGGTCTATAAGACAGTAGTTTACCAGAGTCTAAAACATTAAATGACCACAAATGCAAAAATCTAATCTAATCTAAAACTCTAACTACTACCCCCCGACACACACACACACACAAAAAAAGTTAGGGACACAGATCAATTCTGCAATCCAGTCTAGTTCAAAGATTTCAAATGGCTCCCAAATGCCTACTTTACAGATAAAGTTCAAATTCAGTCCAACAATCAAGATCTATAATATTTAACCCATTCTTCCCGGTCTTATTAAAAAAAAAAAATTATCCTCCAGAATTACACGTGTTCCACTGGGCTTTCCTATTTTGATGGCTTTATTTTTTTCTACTTCAAATGCCCTTTTAAACATATAAAGAGTCCCTCTACCTATGCCAAAATAACAAAACGAAAATCTGACATCCTTTTTTTTAATAGTACTTTTCACAAAGAACTTTCTACTTTCTATTAAAACTATTTACATAGTTCTCACCTCCCATTTCATCTCCCTAAAACTGAGGATATATTTGTAGTTAATCTTTGTAAATTCTAAGGTACTTAATTTGTGGCTTTGAATATAATGAGCATTCATATTTTTTTTAATTATTTAGTGAATTAATGCCCCAAGGTACTCAGGCAAAAATAACCACATTTTTTTGCCTCTAACCACCATATACTACAGCTAAAACATTAACACCCCACCTATGTGCTTTTAAAGCTATTTATGAAATCATGTATTGATTTCCTTGACTAGTCCCGTATTTTTGGACAATAATTTTACATTTCAGAAATAATCTTGGTTGAACTTGATCTCATTTGCTATTATGAAAATTACCAAAGGTTTCCTCAGTAGTTTTTATATTTCAGAGTAGCAGGCAATGTGCACAATCAGATCAATAGCTGAAATAGTCTTTTGGGAGTAATGACTTAAAACATCTGCAGTTTCAAAGACAGACATGAAGATGATGGCTGAATGAGGAATCATATTACTAAACCAAGCAAAAATGAGAGCAACAGATTTAAACAAAACGTTTCTATGGTTAACAATTTCTCTTATTTGGGCACTAGTTACACAGGTGGACTTGCTTTGCAAAAACCTATCAATCAAGATGTACACTTATGAATCATGCATGTCTCTGAAAGTTATTTCGATAAAATTTAAACTAAATGAAGGGCTCGTTTTTGCACCTCTAAATCTTTGTCATTACTTTTCTTTCATATTTCATTTAAGATTCTGTATTTTGCAGAGACTGCTGTGATACCAGGTGAATTAAAAGTGGGAAAGCTATAAGAAAGGGCTAAGAAATCCAAAGTATAGTAAACCAAGAAATGACATCATAATGCTCTTTTTGTATCTGAAGAACTCTTGAGCTGAGAGCTCTTTTTCATCTTCATTAAACAAGCATAACCTAGAGAAGCCTGGGTTACTGAGATAAGTGGTAGATTCTGTGTCTGAATGTATTTAAACTATTATTATCTTTTAAGTAGTAAAACTTAAAAACAAAGAGAATATTTTTAATAGGTTCCTCCTAAAATCCACTTAATGTATATAATGCCCTTCTCCAACTGGAGCTGTCAAACACTGAACCTATTTGTGAAAATAGGGATATATATAATAGACATATCAAGTTGGATATATAACATATTGGTTGTACATTTTTTTATCCTGGATGCAAAGATATAACAGATTCCCTACATTTAAAATAAAATTTAAATTAAGAGTACTTTTAAACCTCAGCTGAACACAAGACAAAATTAACTTAGAAACCACAATGCAATTCTTTATTTCCTCACAAACTTTATTAACATTTTTTGTGATAGATTTTGATAGATTCATCTGTTTCTCAAGACCCATAGTTCACAAAGTAGTGCTTTCCCTAGTTTTATCTGTACAAACAACATCAAGATAATTTTTGTTCATATATACAATGCAAAATTCAGGCTAACGAAGTATTTGTCCTAAAGATTCATGGAATCCTGTTACAAAGCATACTTCAGTTCAGTGAGAGAAAGATCAAGACACAATTCATCTACGCTCCCTTCCCCCCAAATCCTGACAAATTCTAAATAAAAAGGAGTACAATATGCAATAAGGAAGGTAACAATCCTGAGGCCTCATCATCAAAAAAATTAGAACACCAAACAATGTAACAACACAATGGGCCTACTGTTGAGGAGAACAATGATAACCAGTTTTACCAAGTTGCCTGAAACCTACAATAACCAACAAACACAAATATATACATAACAGGCCCTCTACTTAAGAAAAATGACACAGTCTTAACACTAAACCTGAACTAACTAAAGCACTCACAAATGGAGTAGTTTGGGTAATAGTGCTTTCTAGCTACCTGAGATACCAATTTCAGCATAGTCTTTCTAAAACCTTAACATTTTTAGATGGAAATCATCCCAAAATATATCAGACTGGCCCCTTCGGTTTCCCAAAACAATACTTTACCAAGTGTGGTTCAGAGATCCATATACCACTGAGTTTGCTCCAAAATGAAGATTCCTAGGCCCCACAATGTAACTCTGATCAAGCAGGTCTGGAGTGAAGCCCAGAATCTGCACAGCTGCACATACTGTTCCTTTAAGATGGAATGAATTCGATGGCAGGTGGATTTTTGGATGCCTGAAAACTACTCTCATGAAGGGAATAAACTCAGGAAAACTTAGCATGTTCCTGATGACCCCAGGATCCTCATCATGAACTTCCAATTGTACTATGCAGGAACACGATGATCTCAAAAGTTAGTGAAGTCTTTAACCACTAACGTTATGCCTTAGCTACAAAATGCTAAGCTTTTGAATTCATGCAACCTTCTTTTCTCTCTCCTTCCTATGTACTAAGCTGTCCCTTCCCCACAAAGGATACATATCCTTCCCTGTGTGCATCTTTTAGAAAATACTCTTGCCTCATTCCAAAACAGTGTTAGAGAACAGATTTTTTGTTTAAATTAAGTGTAAAATGGCTCTAAAAGAGGACAGGAGAGATATGATTAAGTATACAACATATACTTTAGGCCATGGCTTTGTGATAGCTACTGCTGTTGCTCACAGACCACTTTTTGTTAATTTCCTAACCCTTTCCCATGCTCCACTGTCTAATATATATTAGACTGTTCATCAATACTGGGAGAACGGTGAGTGAACAGCTGAGGTTAATGACATTATGGCTTACTAGTGTTTTAATGTGGGGGTAAAAAAAACCCGAGTATCATTGTTACTTACACTAACAAACTGAATGTCATCTTCATTTTCATCCGTTGTTGACTCAGATGCCTCAGGCCCAGCTGGAAGGGCAGATTCTATTATCTATAAAAATAAGCCAAAACATGTTTTATCTTTACAGCCACATTATCTACAGATTGAGATTTTTCAAAAAGGTCCACTTAAAACACACAGCGTTTGAGGAAACTGAGCATAACACGCAAACCAAATTAAGAGAACTTGATGGAGTTTAGTTATGCCACTGAGTATGTGCAGCCGTAGGGCCGAATGCGGACAAGTTACCATCCTCTTAGATTTCCCGTATCTGCCCATGACGAATGCATGCTCACTACTTAAAAGCAATCGTGTGTCAAAATGTCGCTCGCACTGGCAGAACAAGGCCAACAAGGAACTCTAGAGTCTGTGCAGGGGGCCAGGCGGCCATTGTTGCTGTTGGTTCCTCGCTCAGACATGCACCAGGCCCGAAAGCTGGACTCGGCCCGAGATACTGAAGCAGTGTTGCCTCGCGTTTGCCGCCGAGTTCCAGGCCTCAAGCCGGTGAAAGCAAAACCTTCAGCGGTTTCCGTCTGGAAAAGCCAAGGCCCAACATTCCAGTACTCACCTCGGACCCTGGGTCTCCCATTTCTCTGACGGCCTAACTGACAGCACCACTGCTCCTGCTATCCCTACCACCTCCACCGCTGCTGTCCCTGCAGCCACCACCACCAACGCCGCCACCGCCACGACTTCCCTTCCCGCCCAGCACCGCCTCACGCTGCCGCGCCCCGCCCCTCTGTGAGCACCGACGCCGCAGAGGCGCAAAACCGCTTCAAAAGGAGGAGCGACGCGCACTGGCCGGCTTTTCCGGAGCTTCTTTTGCATACTCCTCGTCTTTCCTCCCCCCCGCCGAGGAGGTTTCTGGGAATTGTAGTTCTGGCCGCCCCAAAGACCTCTGGTGCGTCCATAGAGAAGCGCAGAAAAGGACCCCAAACGACTACGCATGCGTTCCGCTAGGTCGTTAAGAACAGCGGTCTTGATATTTTTGGATTTACAAGCGTTGAGGATGAGAGGATGGGGGCGGTGTGAAGGAGCGTAGGTTGGATTTGGTCTGGTTGTAGAAGCTGATTGTATTAAACTTAAAAGGAGTGATGGGGTCTAATTTTTCTCCCCTCCTCATTTTCTTCGTAGGGGGCAGGGATCGTGAACGTTAGCTGAATTCGAAGGTTAGGAAAGACAGTTGGGGTGTTCTTACATTACTCACTTCTTACCCAGGTCGATCACCCAACCGGAGCATGTAATAATACACCTGATAAAAAAGATGAGAGTGAAGGGCCCAAGCTGTAGTCCAGTTGGCTTGAAGAAATAATGATGAAACTAGAGTTAAGGATCTAATTAAAAAGGAAGCCCAGGCCTAGCTAACAATCAGGAAGGCCTAGACCAGATGTTGAAAATGTGTTTGTCTTTAGGTTTGTTTTTTTAAAAAATATCCTCAGATATTATACTACCAAAATGGAATAACAGTTGACGTTTTTCTTAAATGTTCACAAATTCTAGTGTATAAAATACATCACTGATACTAAACTGAGTTTTAATTTTGTCCTCAACTAGTGCCGTACAAAAATAATGAATAATTTTTGTACCTGACAATGTTTGTCAATAGTTTTTGAGAAAAAAATTAAGCAAGAAAATGCTTTTTATATTAGATGCCTGTTTTTGTCTGTCTACATGAAAACATACATCAGATTACCTGTGCCTGTAGTAATTATAGGAGCTCTGGTAGCGCAGTGCCTAAGGCACTTGATTGCTAACCATAAGGCTGGTGTTTTAAACTGGCCAGCCACTCCCCGGAAGGAAGGTTGGGCAATCTACTTCTGTAGAGCTACTGCCTGGCAAACCCAAGGAGGGGTCTCTATGAATTGGCTCCGACTCCATGGCAGTGAGTTTGGTTTTTGTACTCTGGTGGCTTAGTGCCTAAAACATTTGACTGCTAACCAGAAAGCTGGAGGTTGAAACCCACCAGCCACTCCTTGGAAGGAAGGTTGGGCAATCTACCTCCATAGTAATATCTTGACATCACCTCAGAAATCCGAGGAGGGGTGGCTATGAGTCAGATTCAACTCCACAGCAATGAGTTTGGTTTTTTGTTTTGTTTTGTTTTTTCCTGTTCTGCAAGAGAAAGATATAGCAGTCACTTCCATTAAGATTTCACACTTCGAAACGCTATAGGGCAGCTCTGTTCTATAGGGTGGCAATGAATCGGACTCAATGGTAATGAGTTTGGTTTAGTACAGGTAGTAATTATTGCTTAATACTTGATATTTTCTGCATTTCCACCAAGTGCTGAATGACTTCAGATGCTTTTCTGCCTAGTAAGTTTCAGACTTATAGATGCAAATTGATAATAACAGATGTACCTGGACAGTTCCTCAACAGCTGTGTATTTCTACAATCTTTAATTCAGGGCTTCAAACTAATTTATTCCAGTTTGAATGCCTGATGAAGATGTGCATTTCCTCCTCAGATACAGGAGCCCTGGAAGTGCAGTGGTTAAAGTGCTCAGTTGCTAAGAGAAAAGTTGGCAATTGAAACATACCAGCTGCTACTTTTGTAAAGAGTACAGCCTTGCAAACCCTATGAAACATCATCCACTTGGAAGGGGATCTAGGAGATCTATGTAGGAGATCCTTGATGGAAAGGGAGAACAATGTGGAACAAAACTCAAAATCATTTGGAGGAAAAAAAGGGGGGGACCAGGTCTGCTGGTCTGATAAAGCCTGGTGGAACCACTGAGACTATGGCCCCTAACTGCCCTTCAGGTCTGGAATTGAACCCACACCTGTGGTTTCCAGGCAAACAAAAGATAGGCATATGAGTTGAACGTTTACCTCAAGTAGATATTCTCCTTGGAGAGAACAATCATGGGAGAAAGAAAGGCTGCTTATACACAGGGAGACAGCTCAGGGGGCAGGAGTCCATGGAGGGATGGACACAGGGAAGAGGTAACTATGCAGAGGAAGTGGGAGGGGAGCTATTGCATTGTGGTAAACGGTGGTCAATGTCATGAGACAAAGTATATGTAAACTGCTATATGAAAAGTGAATTTGCTCTGTAAATCTTCACCCAAATCACAATTAAAAAAAAAAAAAAAAAAACCTATGAGACAGTTTTAGTCTGTCCTCTGGGGTTGTTGAGTCAGAATTGACTCAGTGGTAGTAGGTTTGGTTTGGGTTTTTCCCCAGATATATTGATTCCAATATACCGATATACTGAATATACAGATAAAATGTATACAAGTTTAATGAGAACTCCAGGTGATTCTTATTTATAGAGACACACTCAGAGATCTTGTTAAACTACATATTATGTATGTGGGGTGCAAATGCAAATTCTCAGCAAGGGGCTGAACTGGAATGAAACACTTAAAAGCCCTTCTTTAATTCTCAAGACAAAATTTATATTTAAAAATTCTCCTAATGTGTTCATGAGAATTCAGTGGAACACTTACTTTAATAGGGTTTAGGTAGGATGGTGTTTGGAACAGCTAAGGGTGACCAGGAAGCAAGCCAAAAGTGGTGTGCAACAGCTAAGGGAGACCAGGAAGTGAGTGGAGCAGTTTGGAACAACTAAGGGAGACAAACTTATCTGTCAGTTTGCCATACTTTGGTGGCCTGCATGTTGCTATAAGGTTGGAGGCTATGCAACCGATGTTTCAGATGCCAGCAGGATTACCCACAGTGGACATGTTTCAACAGAGCTTCTGGAATAAGAAAGACTCAGAAGGAAGAGGCTATCCACGTCTCAAAGAATTGGCCAGTGAAAACCTTATGAATAGCAGTGAAACATGTCCGATATATTACTGGAAAACTTTATGAATAGCCCTGAAACATTTTTGGATATAGTGCCAGATGATGAGCCCCTCAGGTCGGAAGGCACTCAAAATATGAACAGGAAGAGCTGCCTCCTCAGTCGGCTGACTTTAATGACATAGATGGAGTGAAGCTTTTGGGACCTCCATTTGCTGATGTGGCACCACTCAAAAGGAAAAGAAACAGCTGCAAAGATGCATTAATAATCAGAACGTGGAACATACAATGTATGAATCTAGGAAAATTAGAAGTCATCAAAAATTAAATGAAATGCATAAAGATCAATATCCTAGGCATTAGTGAACTGAAATGGACTGGTTTTGGACATTTTGAATCAGCCAGCCATATGATTTACTAAGCCAGGAATGACAAATTGAAGATGAATGCCATGGCAGTCATCATCACAAAAAATGTTTCCAGATTTATCCTGAAGTACAATGCTGTCAGTGGTAGGATAATATCCATGCCTACAAGAAAAACCAGTTAATACTACTATTCCTCAAATTTACACACCAACCACCAAAGCCAAAGATGAGGAAATTAAAGATTTTTACCAACTTCTGCAGTCTGAAATTGACCAAACATGTAATCAAAGTGTGTTGATTATCACTGGGGACTGGAATGCAAAGGTTGGAAACAAAGAAGAATCACAGGTAGTTGGAAAATTTGGCCATGGTGATAGAAATAACACTGGAGATCACATGATGGAATTTTGCAAGACCAATGACTTACTTGTTGCAAATACCTTTTTTCAACAACACAAACAGTGGCTATACACGTGTACTTTGCCAGACAGAGTACACAGGAATCAGATTGACTACATCTGTGGCAAGAACCTATGGAGAAGCTCAATGTCTTCAGCCAAAACAATGCCAGGAGCTGATTGTGAAACAGACCATCAACTGCTCATATACAAGATCAAGTTGAAGTTGAAGACAATTAAAACAAGTCCACGAGAGCCAAAATATGACCTTGATTATATCCCTCCTGAATTTAGAAACTATCTAAAGAATAGATTTGATGCATTGAACACCACTGACCAAAAACCAGAGGAATTGTGGGATGGCATCAAGCACATCATCCATGAAGAAAGCAAAAGGTCATTAAAAAGATAGAAAAGGAAGAAAAAAACAAAATGGATGTCAGAAGACACTCTGAAACTTGCCCTTGAACAGAGAGTAGCTAAAGCAGATGGAAGAAATGACAAAAGAGCTGAACAGAAGATTAAGAAGAGCAGGTCAAGAAGACAAGTCAATTATTATAATGAAATGTGCAACAACCTGGAGTTAGAAAACCAAAAGGAAAGAATATGCTTGGCATTTCTCAATCTGAAAGAACTGAAGAAAAAATGAAAGGTTCGAGTTGCAATATGGAAAGATTCTATGGGCAATATATTGAATGATGCAGAAAACATCAAAAGAAGATGCAAGGAAAACACAGTCACTGTACCAAAAAGAACTGGTTAATGTTCATCCATTTCAGGAGGTGGTATATGATCAAGAACCAAAGGTACTGAAGGAAGAAGTCAAAGCTGCACTGAAGGAATTGGTGAAAAACAAGGCTATGGGAATTGACAGAACACCCATTGAGATGTTTCAATAAATAGAATCCGTGCTGGAGGCACTCACTCAGCTACGCCAAGAGATTTGGAAGACAGCTACGTGGCCAAATGACTGGAAGAGATCTGTATTTGTACCCATTCCAAACACAGGTGATCCCACCGAATGTGGAAACTGTCAAACAATATCATTAATATCACATGCAAGTAAAATCTTGCAGATAATTCAAAAACAGTTGCAGCAGGATATTGATAGAGCACGTCCAGAA